TGACCAGGAGAAAGAGAAAGGGTGAGAGTAAGCAACCTTGCCTCACACCGGTCTTTACTTCGAAAGAGTCGGTTAGCTGTCCTCCGTGCACGATTTTGCAGTTGAATCCATCATAAGAGTTCCGTATGATGTTAACTATTTTCTCAGGCACCCCGTAGTGTCGAAGAAGAGTCCACAGTGTTTTCCTATCCACGCTATCGAATGCTTTCTCGTAGTCGATGAAGTTGATGTAGAGTGGTGAGTTCCATTCAATTGATTGTTCCACAATGATCCGTAATGTAGCAATTTGGTCAGTACACGATCGATCCTTCCGAAACCCGGCCTGTTGATCTCGAAGTTGGGCGTCTACGAAGTCCTTCATTCTGTTTAACAATACCCTGTTGAAGACTTTGCCTGGTATTGAAAGAAGAGTGATGCCTCTGTAGTTCTCACACTTGCTGAGATCGCCTTTCTTTGGTATTTTGATCAGGTATCCTTCCTTCCAGTCTGATGGTACTTGTTCCTCATCCCAAATCTTCTTGAAGAGGATGTGAAATATTTTCGCGGTTGCTTCTACATCTGCTTTCATTGCCTCTGCTGGAATGTTGTCTGGTCCTGCTGCTTTGCCGTTCTTGATTTGTCTGATGGCCATACTGATCTCCTCAATCGTAGGTGCGCCAATATTAATTGGGAGGTCCGTGGATGCTGCTTCGATGTTGGGTGGGTTCAGTGGAGCTGGCCGATTCAATAGTTCCTTAAAGTGCTCTTTTCATTTCTGCCGCAACTTGAAATAGTCTTCCAGTCTCCCACAATGTACGAACGTTCCATGTACCTAAAAAAATGGTTGCTCTAGTTGTCAGAAGAGGCATCAGCCCCGTGACTTCTGAGGGAACTCGGCTTTCATCACGCGACGTCATAATTCTTCCTCCAACTCCCAGGGCAGAGTTAAAATGGTTTGAATTATTTTTTCTGGTTAGCTTTTTTTTGGCAAGTTAGTTTTTGACGGAATGGGGTCGCCAACCCCATGTCCAACCCTCCTCCTTTACCCGGGCTTGGGACCGGCAGTAGCCCCGAAGGTTCTACTAGCGGAGTTACATCTTCCCCACTACATTCAAAATGCTTATATCTTGTTTGAAAGTTCTTACTATTTCTCCATAACTGTTAACTGTATAGCATTGATGCCTAACCAATAGTTCATAAGTTGTAATAGCCAGACGAGTTTGTGAAAGGAACTTGCAGAAATAGTGTTTCTCAACAGGATGCGAGACATAGAACACCAAGTAGAACTCAATAGCTTCTTTTAAACATTTAACATGAGCCTAACAACACAAAAGGAGGGAGGGTGGAGTTACTGACCAGCAAACATTGATGGTATGGGCGATAACTTCAAACAACCCATGTTTGTGGGGCAGAACATTTTGTTTGCTTTCGGCTCTTTAGATTGATGAGACGACTAATCAGTAACACTGAGGTTGCTCTTATACGCTTGCTACTTCTGTGGTTCATGTTTCCAAAACTATGCTGAGGTCGCTATTCTGTCGAGACACCTGCAACATTCTTACTCAGGCGCTTACAGTATGACTTAGAGGTTGGCATTCAATAATAAAGAAAAAAAACAGTTAGACAGTGCGAGATTTTATTCGTCAAATATTTATTTTTACAAACTCTACTCTTTTAACTAGAATTTCGATTTCAACGTACATAAATCCAGCTTCTTACTTCGACTTCTCTTCTATCCACCTGACACTGCACAACTCTCCCTTCTTTTTGCTGTACTCCTTTATCTGTGCGTTATATTCTTATATTCCCATAATTTACTTTAATTTAAGTGGTCAGTATGAATGTTATCTTGACTTACTACTGTATTGACTACTTCAACATGACAGGTTAAGTAGTGCTTTGGTTATATATATACACTTGCCACACTGCTGCCTTTTCCTCTCTCTCTTCTCCTTTTCAGAACCCCATTCACGGTGGGAAATCCTTGGCAACTCTAGGGAACATGCACCCAATGTACATGACTGTCTGGATCACAGCTCGTATCAAGCGCGTTCCATATGACCTTTCCCAACAAATTCACTATTGATCTCGGCCAATCGCCAATAGAACCTATTGTGCACCTTCCTCATTTGTACTCTAATATTGAAAATGTGGCTGTATAATAATACTGTTTCTGTCAGTGATATGGTGTAAATATGCAATCAGAAACTGTCTCTTATACTTAATTTAACTGCTATAACTTTTACAGTAATTGTAAAAGCATTTGTGACAATTTGATCTAGCCTGTAAACTGGCGTGACTCTTGTAACTTAGTTATTTGAGAATAAATTATTATTATTATTATTATTATTATTATCTGTTGACAGTACGGAGCAGTGCATGAGAGTGAAAAAGGAAGTGGCAGCACGACAGTTAGCAAATTGCTACAAATCAGGGACAAGGTGTCAGAAAAAATTCACTAAGTATACTTAATGTTCCAGTGTCAGAAGCTAGCTTACTGAAAAGTAATGCTGCCTTTGATAAAGAATAATCGGACAAGTACTTCGAAGTCCTTGGAATGAGCACTACTCCGGCCAAAACAAGCCATCTTTTCAATAGGGATACCACCCTATCGAGGTTCACCTTAGGCTCGGCACAACTTGCAGCAGAATTCCGCCCTAAGTCCCAGAGTCTCTTGGTTACGTTGCACTCTCCGAACCTAGTCAGGCACAGAAATGACCAGAAGGATAAACTGACTTAGTCAGTACTGCAACTGCCAATACTTCGGTTTGGTCAAATACACTTGGGTGAAGCTTTCAACAATCCATCTCTAAACATCAGCAAACGGGATACTACTCCTACTGGTTGGTTCCAAAGACTACTTGGGGCGGCCACTAGAAGCTCTAGGCTGACTGAGCATGTATGCAGAGCCACCAGATGGACTAAGGATGGAAAATCCTCAAACATGGATTGGTCGCTAACAAATAATCAGCTCCTGGTCCGGAATGTTCACGTCCAAACACCGATAGGAAGTAGTAACCACGGCACAGTCTTGTTTAACGTGGTCATAAATGAAACCTTCAGGTAGGATGAAAACGAGCTCTACCTTTGCTACACTAGGGCGAATTACACACTCATGAGAGAGGACATTCTACACGCCATGGCCACAGGAATGGCGGAGGCTGACAGAAGGTGATCACCGGCAAACAGTGAGAGATGTCATCCACAATGCTGTCCCACAAAATCTACCTCAGTCACACAACACACCCGGAAATAGAAGTACATGGGTTAGGCGCTTCACTGAAAGCTTGCTACAGGCGAAGAGGAGAGCGAAGCACAAGTGGAAGGTCTTCTTGAAGGATTCCAATCGTAGTTGTTACTTGGCATTGAGAAACAGATGCAGTGACAAAGTTCGAAGTGACATGAGACGCTTTCAGATGAAGCCAGCTGCCAAAATACAGGCAAACCAGAAGAATCTGTTCAGGTTCATGACTAAAAGAAAACATACGAATCAGGGTCTGCATTCTCCCAAACTCCGAATGGGGAAGACCTCTCCAACCCAGAGATGGTTGAGATTTTCAACACAAACTTCACTGATCAGTTAAACCATTTATCCGCATGTTCACAGCACTACGCAAGCACAAGAGTAAAATACTGCAGGAAGCTCAACACGGGTTTCGGAAAGGCAGGTCGTGCACATCTAATCTTCTTATAGCATGGGGCAGTTTGACATCCTGCTTGAACCGAAAAATACCGGTGCACATAATATTTTTAGACTTTGCAAAAGCTTTTGACACAGTACACCACGCAGGCCAAATCGCAAAGATTGTGGAAATGTGCCTGACTGACTCATTCGTATCTTGGCTCAGAAACTACCTTGAGAATAGAAAGTTTCGCACCAAGGAAAATAGAGTGCACGTGAGTTGGCGGGTCTCAACATCTGGAGTTTTGCAGAGGACCATCTTAGGTCCACTTCTCTTCCTGATATTAATTAACGACCTGTTAGAAAAAGTTGGCTTTGAGATTTGATCTACGCAAACGACGCAAAGATCTGGAGGTCCATTAGGGTTCCAAGTGGATTCGACTGAGAGACAAAAGGACCTTACAACGATTGAGGAATGAGCAATGAAAAATGGTTTCAAATTAAACTAGCCGAAATGTCACAGTATGTACATTCTGCCGACGTGATGCAAACGATTTGCACTCTCAACGGAAGTCCACTCCTAAACGTCTCTTCAGAGCGCCGTCTTGGCCTAATAACCACCGAAAGCCTCGACACCAGTTCGAAATATGTAGGAGATGCAGCCATGGCCACAGCAACTCTTGACTTTAAACGAAAACAACTTGGTGCTATTACTGCAGAATTATTCTTAACGTTGTCTAAGAAATATGCACTACCACACCATGAGGTTCACAACGTCGTCGCAGCCCCCTCTGCTTAATAGAGACATGAATATTTTCGATCTAATGCAGAGACTTTCAAAGAAATGGGTGATAGGGTTAAAGAATAAAACTTATGGACAGCAATCAGGACTACTTTAATTGAGTTGCATGATAATCAGATGTGGTCTGATTATGGCGTACAACATATTAAGCATTCCAACATGAGCATCTTACAAATGCATCACCACCACTCCCCTCGAGGTAATCCTCGAAAAATTGCGCTTCAAATAGAGAAAACTAAGTTTCGCGCACACTTTTTATCATTAAGAGTAGCTGCATTTGCAACGCTCTGCCAGCTGAGGTAACCACAGCCCACGTACTCATGTATGGACTATCATCTCCATCGTCGACAAGCTGTACCCGATGCATGCCATGATACTTGGATGTTGGTCTTAATGCGATTTCCTCTGTTCACCAACTTAATATATCCCACTTATTATCACTGTTTCTACCACTTGATTACACTTAGGTCCTCTCGCGCAATCTTCACTACAAATTAATAAACTAAGTTATCTATTTATTTTCTATTTACTCAAAAGCAAAGAAATAGATTGGCTTTGGCACCTGAAAAAGATATTGGATGGTAAACTGGAGCTCCATTTTTAAATGTTAACGTTACGTAAGTTCCATTTGCTTGAGATTTATTATATGAGGTTCAGAGTCGTCTTTATGTTTATGCACATCTGATTATCAATCACCTCACAATTAATAATTCATTCCACCGTTTCTTCGTTTTCCAATTCGGAGATCATTCAGTCCTGAACATTGCAAGCTCCAAACTTCGGTGAAAAATCCACATACTTAATGGAAATTTAGGGGAAAACGTTGTATGAAACCAAGTATTTTCACAATTTCAATAGATGTTGATAGTTTTACTTTTTTTATGAGCTATAATGTAAATTTTGGGCAGAAACCATGATACAATAGTTTACTATTATTAAGACTCTTGAATATTGATATTAAGGCGCTCCTGTCTGTATGCACTACACCAGCAATTGAATTTCTATTTAGAATAACACACTCGAGAGTTAAAGTCGATTCAGGTGGTTTCCTTATATAGTTACAGGTTCAATCCTCAGGTTTATGGAGCAACGTTAGGAGATTCAGTTCCATGATCAACAGGGTTCGCATCCCATTTGTTCACTCTCAGGACTCTAGGAATCTTTTGCACCACCGGTTCAAAATCAGGGTTTTCCAAATCTCCTAGGTGGATCCTCCTTATCTAGTAACCCTGATTTAGCGTCGGACATTCGTTCTTCGTCGTCATTTTCGTGAACACTTCATAAACCACCAGAAGTTAGTAAGTAGGACTGCCATAAACGCGTGTCTGTATGATAGCATTTCAAGAAGGGTAGAGAACTTTACTCATACTTGATCATACCATATCAGTTTGAGACAATACCGTAGAGCATAAGCGTGTTGGTTTAAGTTTATTTCACCTTATTCACCTCTTCTATTAAAGCCTTAAGCCCACCATCAAATTTAAGGATTTCGAGGTAAGATTTTCAGCATGTTTACTTCTTTACATGTTAATTCTACACTATATTATCCGTACATTTGTTTTTGCATCACTTTCAACCCCATTTCTATAATTCCCAAGTAAATCCCGACCGAAGGTGCTACCTTGACGTGGTGGTCGGGCTTGCCTATCGTGACGACCCAACCGAGCTATACTGGCTGGAACACATGTTCCTGCAGGTCCTACCATGCCAACCAGGTCGATTGGAAAACAATGAGACTAAAAGCAGCTACCCAAGGTCTGAGGGCGAAGTCGTACTGCTGACTGCGGAGGGGTGTGACAGCAGTAAGGTGTTTTACCCTCGGACAACCAGCATGTGCAGCGATGCTGCCTTCTCACAAGCAAGGAAGGGTTAGAAAAGGTCGGCCCTAAAAATGTCACACCTCCCCTAACTCACGGATTTCCGTCTCCTTGGGTAAGGGTGCCCACTAAGGGCCTTTAAGAACGGAGCTAATCCTCAAAAAACGTTTCGTAAAAAGGCCGTGCATGACCGGCCTCAAGCAGTTGTCCCTTGGACTCTGCGGTCCGTACTCAGAGCCAGACAAGATGAGCTTTCGAGCATCCATCTTACTGGCAGATATTACTGTTGTTTTCACAGCTTTTTGGACATCATTCCAAGCCGCCTCCGTATGAGTATCACTTACACGGTCACCTAACTTTTTTCTAGTTGTTTATGCAATATATTCTTAGCTATGGTATCATTAAGTAGAATGCTAAGAGGTTTTCTTGCGGTGTCTCTTCTATGTCCAGTAAGTCTCAAACAAATACGCGTTCGCATTAGAGCATGATCCGCATCTAAAATGTGCTTCAGAACTAGCGACAGTCTTCTATCGAACCTCTCTATCGGTGGCTGAGAGCGATGTGATCTAGTTGGACCCGGTGTTGAGCCGATTTCGAGGGTCTTTATTTCAAAAGATGTTTTTCTCGTGTTTAAAGTTAGTGTTTGCTAGAAATAAGCGGTTATCTGAGCAGAGCAGCAGCAGACGGTCACCATTATCTGTTCTATTAGCCACAACACCATAAGATCCGCCCAGGTGTCTTTACTTTTCGCTGAGTCTAGCTGCTTGAGCATTAAAGTCACCAGCCATCATTACTATATCTGAGCGCTTAACATTTTGGAGAACGTTAGAAAGGTTCCTTTAAAACTCATATTTTTCCAGCGTAGTGAGAGGCAACTGCGAGTGTCCTCATATTTCCGAGTCCTTACTGTCCTGTTTAGCTGGACAGCGCATAGGTGACTGTCCGCTAGAGTTCAGTCTAAGACAGCTAGTTCTGCTCTAGGACTTAATACTAAACCTGCGCTGGCGAGGCTACGAGAAGTGGAATCAGGGCTTCCTGAATCACGAAGCTTAGACCTTGTGTCTCTATTTGCACCAGGTGAGATCAAAATGATGATCTTACTCGGATCTTGTATGTGCGTTTCCGAGACGCAACATACATCAACCGCCCGGGATTCCAGAGCTCTAGCTAATGAAGCCTGTTGCTCTATTCGGCATAAGGTATGAACATTAAAAGCTCCTCTGTGTAATATAGTACGCAGTTTCAAGAGACCAGGAATAATGTTTCGTGAGTGCATACAGTTTACTTCAGTGGCGTGAGGTGATAAACGATCGAAAGAAGGGCTGGTCAAGGAGATAAGAGAGTTTATAAGAGGTGTAGATAGGATATGATTTTGACTAACTTGGTCTCGTGTGCTTTTATGGGTATGAGGGGGGATGTTTCTTCCCGGCTGCCTACACCGTGGAAAGGTGTTTCGTTAGGAACGTGAAAAGGAAGGTAGATTAGCGTTAGTCTTAACGACCTGGTTGCGTGACCGCAAAGCCCAAGGGACAACTGCTTAAGGGATGTCGTGCACGACCTTATTATGAGTTTTTAAAATGTTAGCTCCGCACTTCAAATGGCCTTACTGCTGGAGACGGACATCCATGAAGTAAGGTGAGGTGTGACGTTTTTAGAGTTGAACTTTTCTAACTCTTCCTTCCTTGTGAGAAGGCAGCATCACTGCAGATGCTGGTTTTACGAGGGAAATACCCTAGTGCTGTCACACGTCCCTACAGTCAGTCGACCCTAATCGCTCCGATTATTTTTAATACCTCTACTGCCTCCACTACTATGGGATTTGAACCGACAATTGCGTCTTTGTGCTAATGTGGTATGGCAACCTGAACTGATGTACGTACGTACGAAGTTCAACTTCGTAACTGACTGACTGATGAGTACGAATTTGCCCTCAGAACTTGAGTTGCTGCTTTAAGTCTCACCGTTCTCCAATCCAGCTGCTTGGTATGGTAGGACCCGCAGAAACTTATGTTCCAGCCAATATTGGGTCATCACTATAGGCAAACCCGACCACTAATATACCTTAATAAGACTCTGTGATGTTTAGTAAGCAGATAAAGGTCTAGGCGCAGCCGTAGCTTCTAGCTTCTAGCTTAATGTGCTAGTTGGCCTTGCGTATCGCATTTCAACAGGCTCGGGAACATACATAGACACTCTCACCACGCCAGTGGCTTAACTCCTTGACCTTAAGGCGGTGTTTGATTTTATCGTGGGGTTCCGTGACAGTCTGCCTTTGAAAGGCGTACCAGAGAAGTACATCAAACTTGTACTGACTCTCTACTATACTGGTTGAGTCACAGCTTATGACGAACAGTCATTGGAATTGATTACTTCAATTCGATCTCTGTGCTAATGTGGTTTCGCAACTTGGACTGATGTACATACATACGAAGTCCTACGTTGTAGCTGACCGACTGACTTCAAATGGTTCCTCAGTATCGTCCACTTACTCCATTTTTATTTAACTTTGGCATAGACAAAAATTAAAGGAACTGAAGCACCAACCAAAGGTGTATGGATATACTCTGTAGAACTACATATACATTTACCTATTCTTAGTTCATTTATATACTTAGCCTGTCATTTTGACTCTATAAAACTAATAGTCTATGTTAAGTATTTTGTTTAGTCAAGTATTATAGAAGACAAAAAAATTACATAATTTGTGAAGCTACATGATGACCCAAGTACGTCTTTAGAAGTGGTAAGAATAAAATACACTAAGGTTATTTAGTGTCTCGCTGTCTTCTAGAAATCAAATTAATTCATGAATAAAGTAACTAATGATAATAACGATTATTTTTGTCCGTTACCCCCAATAGATCAGAGACTGCCGACTAGCACTCTCTGAACTATTCTGTTCTGGGCCTTCCTTTTTAGTTCTGTCCAATTATTGTTCATTCTTTAAATGTCTGTCTCCATTTCTCGGCGTAATGTGGTCTTGGTCCTTCCTTTTTTCCGTTGGCTTTGAGGATCTCAGGTGAGGGCTCGTGTTGTGATGCAGTTGGGTGTTTTCCCCAGTGTGTATCCCATCCATTTCCACCGCTTTTTCTCCCGATTTCTTCCTCCACCGGAATCTGGTCTGTTCTCTCCCACAGTAGGTTGTTGTTGATGGTATATGGCCAGCGAATCCGAAGTATTTTGTGTAGACAACTGTTAATGAATACTTGTATCTTCTGGATGATGGCTTTTCGTAGTTCTCCAAGTTTCTGTCGCATACAGTAGAACTGTCTTGATATTTGTATTGAAAATTGTGATTTTGGTGTTAGTTGATAGTTGTTTTCTGTTGCAGGTGTTCTTCAATTGTAGAAATGCTGTTCTTGCTCTGCCGAACCGCGCCTTCACATCTGCATACTATCCACCATACTCGTCAGTTATGCTGCCCAGACATGTAAAGGCTTTTAAATTTTCCAAAGCCTCACCGTCAAGTGTGATTTGGTTTGTGTATGTTGTGTTGCATCGGAGAATCTTGTTTTTCCCTTTGTGTATGTTGAGATATACTCAACTGCACAAAATGCAGTTGTCTACAGTCTACCAAAATACCTAAGTGGGGGAAATATCAAAATAAACCGTCTCCTTGACTGTTAATAAAGTCGGAGAGTCTGTAGTTAGTCTAAACTGAAGGAGAGAAGTTGGTCCAGAAGAGTTAGTTCTGGAAATATTTCAGTATAATAGTTCAATTTTGGCGGTTAGATTGACTGAATTATTAGCTAGAGTCTGGAGACGGCGTAAATCCACTTGACTAGTCTCCATTGCTGCTCATCCCAATGAAATGGAGAAGACAAAAATATTGCGATAACCAGATAGGAATAATTTTTTCTGAAATGTTAGCTACAATAATTATCAGATTTATCTTGAGCTGACAGATATCTTGCTTGGAAATTCAGACCATTTTCAAACTTCAGTGTGGATTTGCAGACTAGATACCCACTATTCATCAGCATTTTGAACCTAAGTATATATATTGACGTCCAATTCTAGAGGTATTTTTTTTAACCTCAAATCAGTTTTCGAATACGCTGATCGATGAGTTTTGACTATTAGTCATCGAAATGCGCAACAAAGAAGAATATATACTTTGTGATAGCTCTCTACTTGAACACTACTGGTCGAGCGTATGTATTTGTATACCTGTCTTGTAGTGAATGAGAACACAGGTGGGGCAACCGAATTGTATTTAACGAAAATTACAGAGTTACTCAGTAAAATTGGAAAACCATGTCGTAAATCGTTCATTTTCAAAATAACAGTTCATCATATCGAACTGGACTGTTCCTGTTGCAAAACATCAATCCATTGTCACTATTCATGCGTTTCATATAAATTCCATTGTTTTCTAACTCTTCCTTTCTTGATCTTTCCCCATCTTCTGCTGCCAGACATTACGTTAACGCTCACGTCATATACTACTTATAAGTAGTTCACACCACAGTATCACTTTCATGCCTGTAATTATGATTACCTATTACTCACTGAGTTGGTTATTTCTATCACTCCAGTTTACGTATGTATCCTTTCGTCTCTTATTATTCGTCTACATCATCGAATGTTTGGAATGTATATCCTTCATTTGTGAAGTGAGTAGGATATATGCTTCAGTAACATGAATATCATCCGATTATGTGGATTCAGTCGCTGGCCTGTGGAACTACATGGGGATTATCGTGATCGTTGGGTGACTTGGCTCAGAATCGTTCACGGTGGCTCAGATGCATTCACTCTTTATTTTCCTCTAAATATTTCTATTTAATATTAGTTCGAAAATGTTTATTTCCCGAATTCGTACCCTCATCTTAAACTGCCAGTCAGTCAGATGCAACGTAGAACTTTGTACATAAGTACATCATTTCATGTTGCCATACCACATCAGCACAGAGAAGTAATCGTCAATTCAAATCCATTAGTAGAAGAGGTAGTAGGGGAATTAGAAGTAATCGGAGAGGTTAGGATTAGAAGATACTATTCAAGAAGTATGATTCAGTGAGATAAGTTTAGAGAGTCGAAACTAGAGGGGTTGAAGAATCCAGAAGATTAGCATTTGAGAGAACACAAAGAATAAATGCACCGGCGCCATTGCGAACGATTTTGAGCCATGTCATTCAAGGTCTCTAACCATCGATTACTATCATCTCGCGCACCCCAACCAAGTAGTCGACAATTACCGATATGGCTCAGTCCACTCGTCAATGACTTCATGGATTTCTGCCATGTTTTGGTTTGGCCGCCCCTAGCTTTCTTCCAACCTATTCCTACACTACAAAACAAAGCTCGACGAGGCAGTTGGTGGTTGGGCATACGCAACACATGTCCCAACCACCTCAACTGATGAAGTTTCACAACTTCATCTATTGATCTGCCATCTTAAACTGTATTCATTAGTGTTCAACCTACTAGTGGTACTACACTTATTTTGACTACTTTTCTAATTATTTTATTGATTTAATCCTACTTTGATGATGCGGTATGAAATTTTATGACTGTACATTTATGCCAACCTGTATACACTGATTTTTAATGGTTGACTTCAAAGTAACTCTTAATAGATAGTTATCTACTTTCTTGTTGCTTCTTTATTTCAGATTCGAACGTCAAGTAAAGCGTCATACTACCATCTACATACAGAAAATCGATAAGTCCAAGTTTCACTTGTTTCTAACCTGTTATTCTCTTTAAATCTTCTGAATGGAACGTAATGTAGCACTCATAGTTTCTGTTTTTCACGGAATATTAAAAAATCCTACAGTTTAAAAGTTGTCACTTATGTGACGTTCTTCTACCTTGGCGTTATCTAGAATTGTGTTAAAAAATTATTTGCTACATTTTCTTTTTCATTATTACGATGATAAAATATCAGTAGTAGCCAGAAATATATAATTCTTACTTACAATTTTTGACCTTTGGTGCTAACAGTCTGTATTCTGAACAATGATTTGGTCTTGGAGTTGTATTGCAAAATTACTTGTTCCTTGTGAAATTCTACTTGTGACTAAATTAATTTTTTGTTTAATATCGTTCCAGCATTGTCTTTCTTCTTTTAGTGCAACTTCATCTTTTTTGATTGAATGTATATTTTCTTCTCCAATAACAGTATTTTCATTTTTTCTTGTAATGAATTGGTTATCTTATTACTTTTACTTGATAAGTTTTATAACCATTTCTAGTCAATCAATATATTCAAATGTTTGTAAATTAATCCATTGTGGAATAACTTGTCAAGTCCCATTTACTTTAAGTAACATTGAGTTATTTGTCTATACCTATATAAGTACGCTTTACTTTTTAGGGTTGTTAAATGAAAAAGAATCTGTTTTTGGAGTTATTTGTTGCTTTTTAATGTTCTTTTCGTTGTGCCTCTATCGTTGTGTTCTTTCATGGAAGGTATTACGTTTGTCTAATAACCGTTTTGTACGCTTTTTGCTAGATGCACGTCTACCTGTATGCTTATCTTTATACGGTTTATATATTACTTGGCTTCTTAGTGTATGTTTTTATTTAGGATCGCATATTTTTACAAAAATATCCACTTTTATTCCTAATACTATCCTTTGTACTGGTATTTTTCTTCTACAAGTTCATATCAGTTTAATTCTAGCTTCTTTTAAGCTTTTAATCTTACCACCTGTTAAAAGTTATAGTTTGTACAGAATGATCTCCATGTTATTTTTATCTATGGAAGGAATTAGTTTTCTCCTTATATTATCGTATTCTGCATGGAAATTCTATTTAAGTGAATCATCTCTTGTATTTCTAGGTTACGCTGAAATACCAAGTCATGTTATATTCTTAACTGTGATCTTTTGTCTTCTATATATCTATGAAAATTTATTACCGTCAATACGATCGGAATTATTTTCTACAGATAATATTACTACTATTCTACCTTCTGATTCTTGTAGTCTATGCACTTTGCCATTGTTTCAACCAAGTATTTTAACATCAGATATTGCTATCAATTCCAATGGTGAATGTTCACATTTTATGCATGTGCCATGTGCACAAATTTCGCAATTGATCTTATTCCCTTGTTTGCAATGTTCTGTAGAATCTGTTATTTGTGTACAGGGTAAGCTTTATATTATTACTTGTTATATCACAATACTAAATGAATTTCATATTCCTCTATTATATTTGATCACACTTGCATAAACTGCATACATTTCTTTTTCATAAAAGTGTACGGGACCAATTCGCTCTACTATATAAACAAAATAAGATGAAATCAACAAGAATAATTGCAAACATATTGAAACAATGGTAGCTTTAATAATAGAAAGGATGACCAAACGTAAAAAGATATGGTTCAGGTAGAAAAGTACAAACTATGAGATTATGTTGAAAAATAAAATTTGACCAAAAACAAGGAAAAAATGAATCTATATTACTGTAATTTATTTTGAGCTTTTAGCAACAATTTACAGTAGGTTTGAAGAAAGCTAAGGGCGGCCAAACCGAAACATAGCACAAATCCATAAAGTCACTGACAGGTGGACTTGAGTCATGTTGGTAGATGTAGGCTACTTGGTTGGGGTCTGCGAGACGAAAGTCACCTATGGTCAGAGACCTTGAACGACATGGCTCTAAATCGTGCAGGTGCATTCATTCTTTGTGTTCTCTCTAATTCTAACCTGGATTCCTTATCATCTCTATCTTTCTCTTTCTAAAGTTATCTCACTGAATTATACTTCTCGAATCATATTTTCGAACCCTTATCTTTTCCATTACCAGTAATACTTCTACTATCGCTACCTCTGTGGGATTTGAATTGACAATTACATCTGTGTGCTAATATGATATGGCAACTTGAACTGATGTACATACGTAAGTACGAATTTCTACGTTGTTACTGACTGATTGACTCTATATATTTTTATATTCAATCAATAGTCGAAGGTTACCAACATAAAAATTGATCTGACAAGATAGTACATATATATTTTTTGTTAATGTCATAAATTACAAATTTCTCTTCTAACCAAATAGAATTCTTATCCCCTATCCATATCAATAATTTTCTGAGGATGTATAATTAGTTATTGATTGTTTTTGTATTTTTTTGTTCATCTTTTGACTTATACAGATACTACTACTAACAGTAGTAATTCAATGAATTTTAATGAATTCCACTTAAACTATGCTAATTCTGAAGTATCTAATCTTTCAAGTTCCCTGGAAGAATCTTCCTCAAATTCATCCATTTATGATGATAACGATATTGATTTAAGTGTTTATTTAAATTTGAATCATTTCAATAAAGCTGAAGTGAATCGAACATTACGTAGATTGGATGGATCTAGTTCTTCTTTATTTTCCATTGAAGATGATGAGGATGATGATGATGGTGATGTTGACAATGATGTGTTATCAACAGACAGCGCCGAATGGAATTACAATAATCCTAGTTGTGAATCAGATATAAGCAGCTTTTAAGGAAACACGAAAACAGAAAAAACCTATTCAGTATTAATACTTTTTTTTCTTTTCTATTTACTGCATTTTTTTCCCTTGGAGAAAAAAGAAATAATCATACTACACTTAATTAAATCTTTTGCATTTGTATAAGTTAAGAATTATTTATATTACTATATTTGACAATTCATTATTCATATTTGCACTTACACAAAATTTGTATTATGACTATTTTTATTGGAATATTTGTTAACATCTATTATAGAATAATGTAATTTTTTTTTTTTGAAATGTGATTTGCTTGGCATAATGGAAGAAGATGTGTTCAATGTTCACTTGTTCTTCTTGTGTTACAATCATACACCACAGGGAATATTGAATACAAGATAATACTACCGCTGTAGTGAAGGAGAACACAGGTGAGGGCAATCGAATTGTATTTAACGAAAATTACAGAGTTACTCAGTAAAATCGGGAAACCATATCGTAACCGTTAATTTGCAAATCTTCAATTCATCATCAATCCATTGTCTGACATTTCACTATTCATGCGTTTCATACAAATTCCATTGTGTTCCCACTCTTCCTTTCTTGATCTTCCCCCATGTTCTGCTGCCAGACATTACGTTTACACTCGCGTCATATACTACTTATAAGTAGCGCGCACCACATCATTAGTAGGATCTCAATAGACAATTAGATTAAATTGCCATACTAGATCACGTGAGATGTAATACACAAGTTTCAATCTATGATTGAGGAGCAGACAATAAATCGAAGTCACAGTACGAGGTCAGGACATAAATGCAACGACATCCATATTTCACATGTAACTGCAGTTCATATATATATATGTATACATATATATATATATATGCTTAGATGTATTTTTCTTTGCTCAATAACCAGTCACTACCACACACAACATATTACTGATTTACACACGTGAATCCTCTTGTCTATTCTGGGAAAAAATGATTGTAGGTCACATTTATCGATAAAAAATTATGCAACTGCATCATTATTGTTTAAGTTGATACTCCCACCATAAATTTTTGTAGGCCTAAACATGCTTCGCTCCTAGGTAGTTATTATCCTCGAAGACTGCTTGTACAATGTGTGGCAGCGATACTACTGATCCGGAGAAGTAATATGAAGTTATCGATATTGATGTTAAGCATTTTGGTTAGATTTAAAAGGATGAGTTAAGTATCAGATTAATTTATACTTATCTTAATAACATACTTTTGTGATGATTAGACTGCAGTAACTAATCTAAAAAATCTTGGATGATGTTCCAACAAAACGTTTTGTGCCAAGGAAATTATTTTAGAGATAACAAAAATTAATGTAACTTGTTTACTAAATACAGTTTATGTGGTAGGCTTCGTGCCACATTGTGTAAAAATTAACCATACTAGAATACGTATTTACTGACGCCAGTCACCCCTTGTGGAGCATAGGCGGTCGACGAGGACTCTACAACCTCCTCTGTTCTGGGCCTTCCTTGCCAATTCTACCCAATTGCTGCTTATTCTTTTCATATGTCTCCACTTCTCGGCGCAGTATGTTCCTTGATCTATCTCTTTTCCTTTGGCTGTGAAGGTTACAAGTCAGGGCTTGCCTTGTGACTCGGGTGATTTTCGCTATGTGTATCCTATTTACTTCCAACTCTTTTTCCTGATTCCCCTTTCATCTCAAAGCTGGTTTGTTTTCTCACACACTAGGTTGCTGCTGATGGTATCTGGCCGTCAAATCCAAAGTATCTCGCGTAGACAGTTGTGTATAAGTACTTTTGGGTGATGTTTTTCGTAGTTCTTCAAGTTTCCGCTCCATACAATAGGACTGCCTTGACGTTCGTATTGACACTTGCAACTTTTAAGTTGTTTTGAGTTGTAGATGTTTGTAAATATTAGAAATGCTACCCTTTGTTAATTCGCACCATCATATCTACATCAGATCCCCCTCATTTTTTGACTCGACTAGTTAAATCAACCTGTAAAATATTATTTAAAAGTTTAAAGCTTGAATCTATGAAATATCGGTCTTATATATTTTGTTAAGACATTTTATTTAATTGTTCGTAGTTTGTATCATACTGACTTTAGTTATAGAACAATTGAAAGCGGAAATCAGTGGACAGTTACTTCCTCTCAAAATATAACTTATCACTATAAATTCATGACACTTCCAGGAAGTCAATCTGTGATGTAAACCACAAATTATTAAATAGTCTTCACAGAACTAATATGTCACCTATATAATTGCTGGTTGAATAATTTAAGTAGAAAAGGAGTGTCATTCATTGCATTCCTATTGGATAAAAATGACATGACAATAACGTGTAGTGCCTCCGCATATAATTCCAGTTCGCTTATATCTAACTTGGTTAAGCCCTTTCGATTAATTTATTCAACCAAGCCATTTGTATTGCAACAATTTATATGTACCATTCGTTCTTATTATTGTCTGGTTTGTATGAGCTTGTACGACTGAGCATTGCTTACGCCCTCGCGCTTATTCATCCTTTTCGCTTTAATGTTAATCTCTTAATATCCGTATGAACTCACATGAGTTGTCTCGTTTGCTTTTGACCTTGTCAATCATTCGTCGTTTTTAGTCATGTGTGTACATGCCTATTTCGCTTGTCATATGTTTGTCTTATTTTTGTCTGTTTATATATACTTAGTCATGTCTATCTCTTGGAGTTGGCTCATTAACCTTTTCCAATTCACGTCGCTTCATTCGTTTTATTCGCTGCTTCTCCGCTTCGCTTTGTGGTGTGTCCCAAATAAACGTATTCATCACTTCGTGTTCATCTTCTGATTTCTAAACCGTCAGATGCTATTTAGTAACGATTGTCTGGACGAGTTAATTACCGAGCTTAAGAACACGCAGTAAATCGACACATTGCAAACATATGAATGGAATTAAGAATTGTTTAAAACTCTCTTATGGCAGAAAACTGTGTATATATATTATTAAATAAGGTAATTTTTAAATATGCATTGAAATACTGTCAACGAGAATATAACTTTGTGTAAAACTGATTAGGCTTTTATTATTGTAAACTGAATGGATAGTAGGTATATTCATCACTTATGTAAGTCCTGTTATCAAACAGAAATCCAAAATAATTTGTCTCGCACAGATTATTGTATGCACCCAATGCGAACGAATGGGCGAAGGTAGCAAATGACTAGGCGAAGCGCGTTGGAGAAGGCAAATGAGCCAACTCCGAAAAATAGAGCATGACTAAGAATATATGGTCAGACAAAAATAAGGCAGACATATGACAAGCGAAATAGGCGTGCACACACATGAATAAAAGTGACGAATGATTGACAACGTCAAAAGACAAGTGGGACATGTCATGTGAGCTCATACAAACCAGACAATAATAAGAACGAATGGTATATATAAATTGTTGCAATACAAATGGCTTGGTTAAATAAATTAATCGAAAGGGCTTAACCAAGTTAGATGTAAGCGAACTGGAATATATGTGGAGGCACTACACTGTAACCACTGTGCGTAAAGAGAAAGGCAAATAGACAGAGAGTGAGGATTATACTCAGTTCACAATTATTGCGATTGAAATTAATAATGAATAAGCACAATCAGCAGCAGCTACGACTTGACATTATAATCTGATAATAAAAAACTGTTACAACAGTATCGAACTCCGATGAGTAGTGGACAAGTGTTTCACCTTACTTTTCAATCCTTATTCAGCGAATAATTGTGGTTGTGTTCCAACTGAACCATAGTAACATTCACCTATATCACAATAACTATAGTTTGATATGATTGTTTATGCTCTTTAAATTATTGCGTAGTTTCATTGAATCTAATTATGAATAAAACCTTAATGGGAACCTTACAAAGAATGCTAATTCTTAGTATGAATGATTATTGATCAGACAACTTAACTATAGTCATCCAATAGATAAAATATGGAGATGTTGGAGAAAATTTGTAGCTCAGGTGGATAATCGTGGTAGTGTTGATTGGTTGCTGTTGACCTGAAACCTGTCGTTGTTTGCACCTTTGTTTTGATTGTATCCTCATTTTGATCTGTTTCTTGATCCTATGTCACCTATGAATTTTTGGACTGGTTGACATAGGATCGAGGAACAGATCAAAAGGGTGATACCATCAAAACAAAGGTGCAAACAACGATAAGTTTCAGGTCAACAGCAGCCAATCAAGATCCAGGTTAGCAGAACAAGCTACAGGTCAAACGTGGAGAAATTCGCATACTTCACTTCTATCTGAAGTTTGTGCTGATGATGTTGTTCAGCAGAAGAACAATGAAAGCTTCACAACCAAAACAACATCAAGCTCAGAGAACGAAACACCATCACAATATGAATATGTTAATAGACCTATTCTCGAACTTCTAATATATAGTTTTCTGAATGATTTGATTAGATTTCCTTGTCAATAAAACTGATCTAGTCATATGATTTAGCTTAATTGATTCTATTCAGTGAACCATCCGCCTTCATAATCTTTTTCAATTAGATGAAAATACACTTTTGCACATTGGAACCTCCTAAATATATTCTAAGATAATTTAATTACTATTTTGTTCATGATCAAATAAAAAAAACTTGCTATGATGATCATTTTTATCCCAAGGATAAACATTTCGAAATATTACCACTCATATGTTTAAAATTCTGTAAAAAAAATAGTTCATTCCATACTTTATTTATTTCAATATTCGTTATACTTGTTTAGTACGAAGTAATTTGTAAAAGCTTCAACTTCTAATCAACACATAAATGTGAAATGTATTCAAATAAAATTAGCACATTAAACAAAGAACAAAGAGATTTCTTTTAAGTAGGCTAAGAATACAATAAACAAAATAAAGTTTAATATCTAGAATATTTATTCCTAAATAAAGTACACAACATAATTTATTTTCATTAATGGACAAAATCGCACCGAGTGGTTTTCACACAGTTTGTTTTTGTACTCATAAGTAGTATAAAATTGTAACGATAAATAATTAGGCTTTTTTTAAACTATCATATAATCCTTCGTTTTTTATTTCAGACTGATATTTTTCTGAGTTTTCATGATTAGAGCTTTAGGAATCGCAGGTAAAACGTGAATTAAAAAACAAATTTTTACCGTTCAACTATTTAAACTTCATAAATTTACGTTTTTTTTTATTTCTGGGATTTGGTAAGAAAAGTGTACAATGGCATTTCTAATATATATTTTTGTGTGTCTTTATGAGTTGATCTTAAGTAGAGAGTGTTGTTCGAGTTTTTTCAACTTTAAATCAGTATATGAGAAATCTGGAAGCACTGGACGGCCTTTTCATCCTGGTATGGGACTCATTAGCAATGAGTAAACTCGTATCCTACTAGTACGATTCGAACTCAGGACCTCCGGTCTTGCGCGCGAACGCCTAACCTATGGAACACTGGG